ACTTTCCAGCATATGCTAACTTGTCTGGATGGTCGACGAAGGGTCAGATTGCTTGTCCGGTGTGCATGTCAGATTATGAGGGAAAGTTCCTAAAATACAGCCGTAAGTTCTGTTATTGGCAACACAGAAGATGGTTACCTATAGATCTGCCTGCTCTCCTTGTGAGAACAACTGCTTCTAGGAGCGATATTGTGCTACTCCCATTCGAGCTAGGAGATGGTTCTGCAAGTTGTGCCTGCAACTTTCCACCAAATTAGATTGTGTTAAACCTGATGGGCATCGTAAGGCCATACTTCAGAACCTCTCCACAAAGGTCTTTATGGATTCTCCCTTCCTCTGCTTGGTGGCAAGAAGGGTCAGGACCGAGACTTCTGAATCTTTTTCAAAGAACCTAGCTAAGAAAAACATGTCTAGATCTACCCATTTTTGAATAGACCCAGCAGACAACTTCATGAATCACTCGAAGGCAACCCCCTTAAGCGTGCTGATGAACAGGCGAGTCAATATGGCATTGTTTGCTATTATATCTCCAGTCTGTGACTTACAGTAATAGATGTGTTGATTCGGCGATCATGTGCCGTCAAAAGCCTATAGAGTCAGGGCCTTGAATTACGGAGGATAGGGAGCTGTGTCCCATTTTGCGGGATAAGGCTGCACCACTCCATCATTTTGGAGCTCGCTCCTATTAGCAATTATGTTGAGACGAGCTTATAATTCCTCCATCTTGGCCGACTAAGGATTGTGCTCATTTTCACCCTCTTTCTCTTCTTCAGAGGTAGACTTTATGCTGTGAGCTTCGTGGTCCGAATTATCATTCACTTTATTTTTCCCTTTGATGGTTTCGTCTTTCGGGAGGATTCAGCTTTTTGGACCTTTTCTGTGATAAGCTGAGTCATCAAATCTCGCAGTTGATTAAGAGTCTCTTGCTGAGCCTGATGTTCATCAGCCTTCCTCGCTAGGTCATCTGACCTCCCTGTCATGTAAACAAAATTCTCATGTGCTACGAAAGAACTCGAGGCCTGAGACTCCGTGATGGCCTAGTGTTCCTCATCAAAAGTTGCTCCTCTATCTAACCATTTATAATTGACATGAGGAATGGCTCCCGTCCGAGTTCCGGTGTGTTAATATATCCCTTCAAACTCCTCACAGATTTCTTTGACGGTCGACGAACTACTTGTTTCTGAGTTATCAGAACTAGGAGCTGAGGCTTTTCCTCTGCTGATCACATTGATAGTAACTATAGGATATTCCTTCTTCCTATAGTGTCTTCGTCGCTTGGCAGGTCGGGCGACGTTCGTCAATCGGTCAAATACTAACTATCTTGGTTCTGAAGTGCGACATGAGCATTCTGAGAGGACTACAGAGGTAAGTCTCTCATAATGACACGAATGGGTAGCTCGTTGCTGGTCTTTCTCTTGAAAGTAACTCCCTTAAGTCAGATACCTGGGGAGATTCTCTCACAGACTGTGAGGTTGGAGATGGAACCCCCTGTACTTCTGTGAACATGACCGGTTCTTGTTGAACATGGATCTTGAATCCACATTGATCTCTTTGGACATGATGGATCACGTCGCGTTCTGAAGAAGGAACACGAGGGTCGTGTTCTATTTGATTAACACTAGACCAAAGTCTGTGTTTTGTTGGTGAAATGCACCCTTGCTGGTTGCATTTTTGTTGGTTAACGCAGTCCTGAGGTATGCGTTTTGAGTCTTGAACGCATTCTTGAGATCTGAGTTTCGGATCTTGAACGCAATCCTGAGAGTTGCATTCTATTTTGGAAACGCTTCCCAAAGGGATGTGTTTTGAGATTGAAACACATTCTTGAGGACTGCATTTAGGTGTTGAAACACATCTTAGAAGACTACGTTTTACTTTTGAAACGTGCCCCTGAGGGCTACGTTTTAAGTTGATTATGCGTGGCTCATACTTGGGCTTATCAATATAGTGCTCAAGTTGAGGCTCACAAACATGGAGTTCGTGTTGATTGAGAGATCGGCTCTCTCGGAGATAGGTTCATCACAAGGATCTTCTCCTCCATGAAGCGACATTCTTCTTGGCCTGTATTAAGGCCTTTGCAGCGATATCATCTGCGTTGATGGAGCTTGTCGCTGCAATGGGCCTCTTCTGACCTGATACACGTCTCTTCGACATAGTTGTGAGATCTTCGACTCGTTTGATGAGTCCAACAGATACCAAGCCCACTCCTTTAGAGGTTGTCTGAGCCATGTAATTCAAAGGGGAGAGCCTCCTTTGATGGTTCAGTAACAGTTTTGGTCTCCTTGGAGACCTTACGGATCTTATGTATAGCCTTAGGGCTAAGGGATCCTGAGGAAAGTACTTCTTCGTACTTGGCTTGTTCGAATTCCACGACGAGAGTCTTGACCATTGTTCCACTGAGGTTGACATCAGATTGCGTCACCACTTCTTCGTTAGTGAAGCTAGTCCCCAGCGGAGTCGCCATCTTTTGTTTGGTGGGAAAATTCGAAGAAGACAATTGAGAACAAAAATGTGTTATTCTCTCTAAGTGATTTAGATAAAGAATGATTACAACGTTCTCAATACAATTTCTCTCTAACAAACTTAGAAAAGAAATTATAATCTTCTCAATCGGAATCCTGATTTACAAAAGAGAAAAGGAATCGACGGAGATCAT